TGTGCAAGGAAGACCGAGCAATGAGTTNCTCCGATTCTGCGAACAATGGCGAGAGCTCCACTGTGCAAGGGAAGGAACCGAGCAATGAGGTCTCCGATTCTGCGAACAATGGCGAGAGCTCCACTGTGCAAGGGAAGGAACCGAGCAATGAGGTCTCCGATTCTATGAACAATGGCGAGAGCTCGACTGTGCAAGAGAAACAACTGGACAATGAGGTGTCTAATGTAGTTTCAGATAGTCCTCATCAACAGATGCCCAAGAGGACATATGCTTCAGTGGTTAGTGCTTAATCTTGATATGATGCCAAACAAAATACTCGGTCAATATGTACATGCCGTAATGTTGCTGATGTTCATGCGTAAAATGTCATGATGGATGCAGATCAAATCTGCGAAAGATGTTCCTGTGAACGTAGCAACTGCAGAATGGGTTCCTGTGGTGGCAGCGCCATCTAAACCAGTCCCTGCTCCAACGCCTGAGGAGCCGATCTCCAGTTCTGGTACTGCTGAAAGCAACACCTTCAATTCCTCAAATTTACATAAGACAATTCTTTGAATTCACTTTGCATTCAGTCGATGAACGTTCCATCTGCGTCAAGAACATACCCCTCCAGGCAACACCGGCACTTCTTGAGGAGCAGTTCAAGAGGTTTGGTCCTATCAAGCCCGGTGGCAGCCAAGTTAGAGGCCATCATAAGGTTGGTCTCTCATACCATCTTGTGTAGCTTTCGGAAGACTCCCTATCTCTCTTTCATTTTTGATGATGCAAGAGAATTCACTTTCAGTGGCAGGAATCTCATTCTTGTTTTGGCTTTGTCGAGTTCCAAACATCCGATTCTGCCCGACGTGCGATAGAGGTCAATCTCGTATACTGTCATCAACACAAATTTCTTAAATCTTACATCTTCAATTTCTTTGAGTGATGTTTGCAACTTTGATTTCCTCCTACACATATTGATCGTGTTCATATTTCAGGCTTCTCCCATAGTTATGTCTGGCCGATCAGTCAAAATCGAGCCAAAAAAGATACTTAATCCAGGAGGTAAGTGTGGCATAAACTCTTCATCATCGTCACCATTGAGACTTACCTGTTTATAGTTCATTATAATAGAACTGCAGCAATAAATTAACCATGCAACTTAATATGATATTCATGCTGTGCAGTTGATAGATACGGAGGAAGATTTCCACCTGGTGGGGTGGATGGGCAGCAAAGTGGATTAAGGCAGCATGGTAACAGAGGCTATGTTGGAGGCAGGGCTGGGAACAGGACTCGATTAGATACAGCTGGTACTGGATCTGGAAGCCACCATAAGTGGAACTAAGGAGCTCATTTCACAAGCAGATATTGATCTACGAAGGATTGCAGAACTCTCCACAAAGTGCAAATTTTGTTTTTTTTTTTCTTTCACAGGCTTGTTTTGTTCATTTGTACTTTCTGTTTCTGTGTTTCTGTACATGGAATGAGAACATTTTGTAGCTTTTGTACAGGGGCAAATATTTGTATTATAAAAAAAGAACTAATCCATGAGATCTCACGAAATCCTCCTCTCATTCCTTTGTTGAGTGTTCACATGAACAACCAAATTTTCCTGAAGTGTTAGCCGGTGCATGCTAGAATCTCGTTCTATCAAGTGTGGAGTGGTCATGGTGGAGTGAGTTTGCAATATGATAGAGGCTGCTAACTTTCTTTGAATGCCAAGGGTAAATTAGCAAGTCTTGATGAGCATAGACATGGGCTTGACGAGGCATCATGTTAGAGCTAGCCCCAGGAAATTTACCAAAGGATAATTTTGACAAACCAACAAAGACAATAAAGCGGAAGAATAAAAGAAGCGACAAGAACACCAGATTTACGTGGTTCGATCAATTGACTTTGACCTATATCCACGGACGAAAGATGAGCAAATCACTACTATAAAAGGGACTTACAAATGCCTTCGGAAGATGTTCCTAGGCCATAAGACACCCGAAAATACTAAACAAGAAAAACCTCAACTATAAGCCCAAACTATTTAACTGAGTGTGGACTTAAACCCAAAGCAAACACTTAGATTTTTCTTGTGGTGCCACTTGTGGTGTATCTAACTTCAAAGCCCAGACTCTTATTTATAGTTCAAATATGAGACAACAAGTCTGATTTTCCCGATGTGGGACTATGGGACTTGCCAAACTAACAAATCTCCACCTTGGCATGTCCCAACAAAACTTGCTCCACCTTCTTCACAAAAGTCCCAATGGGCAATCACCAACAATGAACACAAACCAAGTCCAAGCACTACTTGAACTTGTAAACCAGAAAAGACTTCGTAAGCATATCAGCTGGATTATCCTTCATATGAATTTTCTGAACAAGGACCTTTCCCTCAACAATGGTATCCCATTTGCATCCAATAATTTTCTTACCCGAAGACGGCTTCGCAAGATCCCAAGTTTTATTTCGATGGAGAGACTCAATTTCTTCATTCATCGCAATTAACCACTTAGCGGAATTATCACAAGAAACTGCATCTGAGTAGGAAGTAGGCTCACCAACTTCACTTGTCTCTTCTGCAACAGACAAAGCATATGCAACCAAATTTGCATATCTTTGTGGTGGTCGAATATCTCTCTATGGTCTATCCTTGGCTATGGAATATTGCTCTTCCTCTGGATCATCTGTGTTAGTAGACTCGGGACCACCTACTAGCATTCTTTAGGTAGAAGAGTTTGACTTAAAAGAATCTGAACTACCAATCTCAAGCTCCACTTGCTTCTGCGCACTATCATTTGTACAACTAGTAGAATCCTTTTTGGAAAATAACATAAATAATTCATCAAAAGTAACATCTCTACTGATTATAAATTTTGGGGATTTGGGATCAGAACACCATAATCTATATCCTTTCACCCCAGAAGCATACCCAAGGAAAATGTACTTTTTAGCCCGAGGCTCTAATTTTCCTTCATTTACATGCATGTATGCTGGACACCCAAAAATTTTTAAATCAGAGTAATCAGCAGGAGTACCTGACCAAACTTCCTCCGGAGTTTTAAAGTTAAGTGCTGCAGAAGGAGCGCGGTTGACAACGTAACATGTCATATTAATCGCCTCTGCCCAAAAGTCCTTTGTCAACCCTGCATTTGAGATCATACACCTCGCTCTCTCCAAGAGTGTTCTGTTCATATGTTCGGCCACACCATTTTGCTGAAGCGTCATCCTAGCAGTGCGATGCCGAACGATTCCTTCATTTTTGCAGAATTCTTCAAAATCACCTTCACAAAATTCCATGCCATTATTTGTTCGAAGCCGCTTAATCTGTTTACCTGTTTGCTTCTCAATTAAACCCTTCCATTGTTTAAAGGTTAGAAAAACATCATTTTTATGCTTCAAAAAATAAACCCAAACTTTCCTGGAATAATCATCAATGAAAGTCAACATATACCTGGCACCACCCTTAGACTGAACATGAGTTGGACCCCAAAGGTCTGAATGAATATAGTCAAGAGTACCTTTCGTTTTGTGAACTGCCGGAGAAGTGAAGCTGACTCTTTTCTGCTTTCCAAAAATGTAGTGTTCACAAAAGTCCAGTGGCCCAGTACTCTATCCGCAAAATAGACCTCTTTTGCTCAATATGCTAAAACCTTTTTCGCTCATATGACCCAAACGCATATGCCATAATTTGGTGATGTCAGAATCAGACAATGATGATGACGAGACTGCAACTGAACCTATGATAGTAGTTCCCTGCAGAATATACAAGCTACCAGACCTACAAGCTTTCATAACAATAAGGGCACTTCTAGAAACTTTCATAACTCCACCTTCAGCTGTGTATTTACACCCAAGGGCCTCTAGGGTGCCTAAAGAGATGAGATTCTTTTTTAAATCAGGAACATGTCTAACATTAGTGAGCGTCCTCACAATACCATCATGCATTTTAATTCGGATTGTGCCTCTACCAACAACATCACATACGGCATTATTGCCCATCAAAACAATTCCACTATTACAAGATTCATACGTGGAAAACAAATTCCTATTGGGACACATGTGATAAGAACAACTTGAATCTAAAATCCATTCATTTTTAGACCTCGTCCTGTCATCAATAGCAGAAAAAATATTTCCAACATTCTCATCAGTTGCTACACTAACTTCAGCGGATTCGGTAGTTTTTTCAACAAATTTTTCCTTTTGCTTTAATTTATTTTTCAATTTAAAGCAATCAGATTTAATGTGCCCCATTTTATGACAATATCTGCATTCCAAATTTCTATGTCTGGATTTAGATCTAGATTTAGATCTACTACTGTCAAATTCTCTTTTATCCATTCTACCATTGACAACTAGACCCTTAGCCTGATTCTCTCTACTTTCCCTAGTGATATTCCTGTCTATCTGCTCCTTAGATTTCAGTGCAGATTTAATTTCTTGATACAAAACTATTTCTTTTCCATAAATCAAAATATCACGGAAATGCTTAAAAAGATTGGGGAAGAGAACACAAGAATAACAAAGCCTTATC